AATATCATTGCTTTAACATTTAAAAAGTGAAATACACAGTCTATTTGAGGTGTCATATATGTATGGGCATGTGTGTAATTGTTAAAATTTTATATTGTTATGATTTTTTTATTTTTGTATTTAAGGAATTTGCTACCAAAATGTAATAAAGAAGCTTATATGGGTTTCCTCTCATTTCTGCCTGATTATCATGAGAAGCAATGTGCCAATGTTGCCTGCAAGTATTGGGTCATTATTTGCTCTGCCCGAATATTGAGTTCTGTTGTCTGAAGCTATCAAGTACTCTGAGCACTCTTTTTTAATGCACTTTTTTTGGCCTCTTTTTATTCTAACCTGCTCACGTGAAGCACCTTTGGATGTGCTTTGTTGGTTGCTTTAGCGTTGCACTTTAACTCTAGTTTTGTTTGCAGCTGGAATTATTATTCTGAATACATATCATTTTCTGAAACTTAAAAAAATTAACTTTTTTACATGTTTGCATATTTAATATTTAGAGTATAAAGCTCAAATGTGCTCCTTTCTCCTTTGTTGAATTGTAGGGACACGAAACAACACCTTGCAGCTTGATAAGAAATTCTGAAACTTTAAGTACTCCTGGTTCTACCACCAGGACCACTGCTACAGCTGCTCTTAACTTCAGAATACATAACACAGCGCATCAAAACATACCCAGCACACATGAGATGGAAGAGTTCTTCGCAGGCTCTGAGCGCCTTCAACACCGAACTTTTATTGAAAAGTACATATTCTTTCCTTGTGAATTTCTCTCTTTTATTAAAATTTACAGAATTTGATTTGAAGTTTGAGCTGAATCTGCAGGTATAATTTTGATCCTGTGAATGATTGTCCCCTTCCTGGACGGTTTGAATGGGTTAAGCTCGACTCCTAAAAGTTAAATTTTTATCTTTTTATCGGCTCTCTCTCCATTGTTCTCTGCAAAGTTATGATTCTGATGTTTGTTAGAGGAGAACGATGGCTTTCCCAAGGAGAATATGCGTAGTCCAGTGGCGTGGTATCAGACAGATCTGAAGGTGGACAGCTTAGGTGGTAGAAAAGAAGAAAGGAGTTTATGTCGTATTCTATTCTTAGCTGTAGCTGTTAACATATCATTTAGGAGAGTTCGATAGGGATCATTTGATGAAATTTTCTTTCTGTAGCATACTGCTGTTGGCACCATGTTCTTTGGGAAATAAACATTTTTCTTTCATGATTTCTTATTTTACTGTCATTTTCGCTCTTGTTCTATGGAAAAAAAGACCTTTTTTTTTGGTTTTATGATGTCTTTGTATTTTATTATATGATATGAGGCCATCATTAGAACATTTTAGGGATTTGCTTAGCATTTTTATAGGCATGTGATGAGGATCATTTTGACATTTTACTCGGATTGAATAATGTGGAGCATGCAAACCACTATAACTTCATTTTATGCAATATCTTCCTTGTAATATGGTGGTTGAAAATTACTTAGTTATCAAAAGAGGTCTTTTTTGGTTCTTTTAGTAAAAATGCATGAGTTTGATTCGTTAGAATTATATTAATTAGAATAAATTTGTAATTTTTGAGGGGAGATTAAAATTATGATGACTTGATTTACAAGCAAATTTTGAGCTGTTCTTTTAGGTATTTTTACAGTTTAAACCTTTTTTGTGGTTTGTAGTGAAGCGTGGGGGTAGTCATTCGATTTCTATGTTTTTTTTTTTAATTTTTATGTGATGTTTATGACCATGAAGCATGGAAATGGTACATGCAAAGCATAATTTTTAGTTAAACTTATGAGATTGATTTATTATTCTGTGAGGCCAAAGCTGATCTTCATGGTGGTTTAGGGCCTGTTTGAGAAAAGAAAAAATTACTTATGGAGTCAGAGGCAGCAACTGCGATTCATCGGAGGTTATTTTTTTTCTGTTTCTTCCGGTGGATCGCAGCCGTTGACCGGACACAATCTGGATGTAGCATGCGTCCGAACTTTGGACGTAATATTTTTACCAGTTTGGAACATCATTTGTTTGTTTTGCGTTTTAGACTGTCATTATGATTCGATTTAGGTAATTGTTTTATTGTTATTTTTTTTAAAATTTTTATGATGTGATTTTGTTTTTTTCAACCTGAAATTTTAAAATGTGGTGTCATTTGATTTTTATAAATAGGCATATTTATAATCTTTATTACATTATTTTAAAAAATTAATTTCTTCATCATTTTTTTAAAAAACTGCTGCCATCCTTAACAGAATCTAATTTTCTGAATTTATAGCTTAAAATCAGCATGTTTAACTTTGGAAATTTGAGTAAGAGTGAATGGCAGAGCTCCATGGAGATAGGTTTTATATTTTTTTCAGTAATTTTGTCATTTTTTTTTTGCTTGAAATGTTAAATATATTTTATTTAAGTCATTCTGAATAAATATCATTTATGTTAATTATGTTCTTAATTTTTATTTAATCTTTTAATTTTTATTTTATCTATTAATAAATATATTTTCTTTCCTTTCAATATTATACAACTTCATATGACATTAATTTATGCTCAATTGTTTTTAATATATAGTATTTCAATTTTTTAAAGTTTTACTACATATATCCAATATATCTTATTCGTCAAATAACAATAGAATTTAGTTTATAATGATAGTTTACTATCAAGGCTCTAATTCAAACAACATAATTTGTCTTAATTTTATTTTACAAATATAGTTTTACTTTCCTTAAATATATATTAATGACATAATACTCTTAGAGCTTTTTTTTTTTCATTTTATTTATGGGAGCTTTCATTTTAACATGCTCTTGTTTGCTATAAAATTGATCCAAACTATAGTGAGGTAACATCAATTTATTATTTTGCCAGTTTATAATGTTAACTAATAAGCATCAATATTACATAATTAATATTGAATAACATATATTTGATCTTTGTATTGATAATTATAATTTTTCTTTTTTTCATGTGTTTTCTAAATCTTTTTTTTATCCTTAAATATATTTTATGGCATGTCACGATAAAGTTACTAGAAACATTGTTGAATTTAAATTTGTCCTGTAAACTATGTCGAAGCGATAGAGCGTAGGGGCCGAGGGAGAGGAAGAAAGAGAGAGAGAGAGAGAGAGAGAGAAAGAGAGAGAGAGAGAGAGTAATGACACGGTGATTAGCCCTAGCGGGCAAAATGGGGGTGTTCTTCATGCTCTCGTATTCATTTTATATATTAAAATAAGTTGTTACAAAAAAAGATGAGAGTAATGTCTAAATGATTGGAAAGCCCAAATGACCTGTTACATGAAGAAGACTCATATTTATAAATCATAAGGAGCATCTAGACAAATACATCATTGTCCATAGGAGTTACAAATTATTATGCCCCTGAGAGTTACAAATTATTATGCGCCTAGGAGTTACAAGTTATTTTGCCCATGTGAGTCACCCATTAATATTATCTATGAGAGTTACTGGTTATTATTGTCTTCATTGGCACATTTTCGTATATTTGACTTCTTTTTGTATGTTTGACACATTCTCGTAGCTGGTTCCATCGAGCGATATGTCCAACTGGTCGGCTGGGGTGGCCGTCCAAATGAGATGGTCGTCAGTCTCTGCTACCATCTACATTTTTCGAACATACAAACATATATACTTAGATATCTTACTTTGAATATTATTCATAAGAATCTATATAATTAATAAAAAAATATGATGACTAAACATTAAATTTTAATTTAATCATGTCATAAGCAAAAATTATTTGTTTATTATATAATTACTTATATTGTTAACAAGTGCAACCCATTTGACTTAATACTCTGGGTGCATTAAATCATAAAATCTTGAATTTAAGATCTAACATATACATGTATGTGAGTTAGTTGACTTTACCTTCGTCATACTCAAGCTTTTTTGCATGCATATTTTTGATTTTCTTCGAGAATATTCAGTTCAATCCTTAAAGTTCCACACCAAGTCTTAAGCAGACACGCCTCCACTTGACCAAATCTAGCACACATTAGGTTTGACATGAACTAGCTCACCATTTCTCAATTGGTTTTAGCACACATGCTTTTGTGACAAGTCAATTGCTCTCCATTGGATCATGCACATCTCGCCCCAATCAAAATTATGTTCATTCAATATAGGGTGCGTGTGGGGCGGCGTTGTAGAGCTGCACCACAATTTTTTTCTATTTGGTAAAACTATTTTTTATTTGCGTTCTCATAAAGCTATAGCTAAAAACTACATTTCTCCGTCATATCTAATTACATGCGGTGGCTGTTAAAAAGTTACACTCTGAGATTTTTTTTTTAAAAAATTGTAATATCCATTAGAGTTTTTTGAACAACGTCTTTTTATTCAGCAACTTCACAACTACTTCAAACAGCTGCAACTGCCCCAAACAGACCCATAAATAATCGACTTTGGCTTCATAAATTTATTCAAAATGGATTATTGGTGTTTAAAACTTTGTATCTTAAAATGATGCATTTAGGAAGCAAATTTATAATATAATATTTAAGGATATTTACATATATATACCACAATTTTTATATATTTATACAAAGAACAGATAAATTTTAATATTTGTATTTGTAATACTCAATTCCTTTCCATGTCACTAAAATTATCACTACTACTAGCTTTTTTAAATTGAATTACACATTTTCATGCATTGGTTCACACAATGAACAGTGTTATAAATACAAATATATAAGAATATTTGCAGAGATAAAATTTTATCCAATTAACCTAAAACTTTATTTCTTACACTCATACCACTCAAATCTTTCATATTATATAAAAATGTATAAAAAATCAAACTTTGGATATTAGATATGTAAATACATATGAATTTTATGGTATCTTTGTAAATCTTCCTTAATAAAACTCAATTTAATGGGCTTACTGATCGCAAAGGCTATTAAATGAAAATCTCATTACAGCCTTCAACATGTACTCTTTTCTCCTAAAAGAAAATTTCATACTTGAGGATATCTCATTTCATGTTATATATATATATATATAATCTCAATTA